TGGCGTCGCTCGCACAATTTCTGGACCCTCCTTAGAATGCATAGATTTTGTTGATGTAGAAAGGGTAGATTTGGCCATAAGGTCCTTCCAGCCGTACAAATCTCCAGGCATGGACCGCATCTTCCCTGCCGAACTTCGGGCAACGTCCGACATTCTATGTCCGATGCTTGTTTCAATCTATAAGGCTTGTCTCAGACTTAGCTTCATACCCAAGGGATGGACACTGGCGAAGNGCATCTTCCCTGCCGAACTTCGGGCAACGTCTGACATTCTATGTCCGATGCTTGTTTCAATCTATAAGGCTTGTCTCAGACTTAGCTTCATACCCAAGGGATGGACACTGGCGAAGGTTGTGTTCATTCCCAAGGGCGGCAGACCATCTCACGTGAAGCCAAGCGACTTTCGACCGATTAGCCTTACATCTTTCTTCTTGGAGGTTCTGGAAAGACTACTGGACGTGAAGATCCGACAAGAAATTGATTTAAGTATATTATCTAGCTGTCAGCATGCCTATTGGAAAGGCAGGTCTGTAGACACAGCTTTGCATGGTATTGTCAGCAAAATTGAAAAGGCATTAGCGCTTAAGGAATATGCATTAGGCGTATACCTTGACATCGAGGGTGCCTTCAATAGTGTTCTCCCAGAAGCTGTTCTCCGCGCCCTAACTGACCTCGGTCTGGAGTACTCTCTGGTAGAATTTGTTCATCGCCTTCTAGGCTGCAGAACTATATACTCGGAGATGGGAGAGGTATCGGTAACAAGGTATGCAAACCGCGGCACCACGAAAGGCGGTGTCCTCTCCCCACTCCTGTGGAATCTAACAGCAGAGTATTCACCTGCTGTCGCAGCTACAGAGCACAGGCTGTCAGGTAGTTGCCTACGCCGATGATCTGGCCCTGACGGCGGTAGGTAAGCACCCCCAAGTTCTATGTGATCTGGTCCAAGGCGCCTTACGCGTTGTGGAAACCTGGTCCAAGGAATCTGGCCTTGGTGTCAATCCAGGGAAAACAGTCATGGTTCTTTTCACAAAGAAAATTAAAACCGTCCAGGTGCAACT